ATTATTGTGAAAATAAGGGAACAGTCATAAAAGTTTATAATAATACCTTGACAATTCAAATTTAGAAAATTATAAATTAATTGTACCATAAAAATATGACAAATGGTTCTGACAATTCAATGTTCGTGTAGGGATCACCAGATTCCTTATGAATGCCGTTAGTAATAAAAAGCCGATGAGCACTGAAAATCTTTGGACATCTTGGCCGTGCGCCAGAGGTGGATAGCACATGTTCAGACTGGATAATTAATGCTTATTACTTAGTTTCAGTTTTGATTTTCAACCCAACAGCCAGTTATTTTTTCTAAGTTTACAATCGAAATGGAATTTATGCTGACTGGGTCTTAGGCTGACCAATGTTTTTAACTTTTGGACCACTGTGCATCGATTGTCTAACCAGCAGCAGCCTCGGCATCTGCGACTGCGGCAGTCTGCCCCACTCCCACTCCGGCTTGCCCAGTTGCCCAGTTGCTGACTCTCCCGCTGCCTGTTAAATGACACAAAAATATGGGCTTAACCGGAAACGGATGTATTATCTGCGCTAACTGCGCAGCACTGCGCTGCCTCTTCGCTCAGCCAGCCAGCCACCAACCAGCCAGCCAGCCAGCTAGTCAGTCAGGCAGTCAGTCAGTTAGTCAGTTCTAGTCGACGGGCCTGTTTTAGCTTGTCGGGCCGTGGAACTAATAGAATATTATAAATTGTACTCGCAGCACGTATGTATGTTTGAAGCATACATTTGGAACCTGTGCCTTCTCCACTGACCCACGGCTGACGCTGGCTCATTTGGCTGCTTGGTTGTGGCCCTGGTTGTGGCTGCTGCCTTTTGGCCGTCCGTTGTGCGCTTGTTCGTCACGCTTCCGTGAGCTTTTTGGATCGGACTTGTGCTTTTTGCGGCCTGTCGTTTCATCTGGCTCGGGCATGCAAAACTGAAGCTACCGTTCGTTAGTTGCATGTGTGTCATATCTGCTGGACAGCCACTTGTCCGACCGCCCGCGCTCCCCTCACCTTCCCCACCCACAACGCTTTCCATTCTCCTGCTCCATTGCATTTGCTTGCATGTCGAGAACTTGACGGCACGCTTTCACTTTTTCTCAGTTTTCTCATTCAGCGGTTCTGAGCGAGCATTGACCTATGCATCTAGTATTGAGTAGTTTTGATTGCTCAAGGGCAATTATTGAAATGGTTTAAGATGAGTAGTTTCGCAGGGTTCTGATTGATTTATTAAAGAAGCGATTTCTAATGCTTGCCTGCCAATGAATACTTTGGCACTATTATTGCAAAGTATAAGGATTTATAATGAATTGAATTTATAATAAACCTCAATGAATACAAAAAAGTGCGTTGATATTGTTAATAAACTCGGCTTTTCTATTGCCTGTCTGCAAAGCTTTGTTCTGGCTATTACAAATATCAAAGTAGATCGAATTAACGCTTCGCAAATATACTAACATAGTAAGACAAACTGCCATTAAGTTGGTCATTGCTATGCGATCTATTTTAATCCGAACCAATTAGAAATTGTAGACTGAGACGATGAGATGGTTTCATGTAGGATTTCTGATAGACACATATGTGTATATTAATTTCATCTAAGCGCCAGAAAGTTTGTAAGTACGGAATGGTTATATTCACTGAGTATTATATGACCAAATAACAAACATTTAAAGTTAACAATTTGATTGAAAAAACGCAATTTAAACGCAGAAGGGGTTGGCGTTGACTGCTGCAGCTGCCTCGCGGCTCCCTTCGAACTGTCAGTCAGCTGGGTGGAAGCGCATTTGCATGTCTTTAGCAGGATCAGGGATAAGCGCAGGCAACTGATTGAGTCATTCTTAGACAATGCGGCATGTGAAAGTGATCGAGGCCGCAGATGCGGCAGCGCACGCAACTCAAAGATACTTTTCTTATCCTTTTCTTTTCCTTTGGTTGCCATTCAAGCGATAGGCTAAATAACAACAAACAATGGTCGAGGGGAGAAAGGAGTAGGGATGCGAACCCCCTTATTCTCGTTATCGCTGCATCCTTTGTGGCTGTTTTGTTAGCCTTGATCGTTGCTAGTTAACATTTTTCTGTTCGCTTTGTTATTGTTGTTTCTGCCGTTATGTTGACGTTGTCGTTGCCATGGTTGTTGTTGTTGTTGTTGATTTCCTCACGCTCCGCTGATTTTTCCGCTGCCAATTTACTGGTTGTGATATACTCGTACAAATGTGAAGGCCTGACAATGGACGAGAACTGAGAAAGCCATACTCTTTTTATCGTATCATATCTTCTAAATTTGCAATAGTAGTCGTTTCATAAAACAACCGACCACATTTTTCAATAAATAGATGAAGTATTCAAAAACTAAAATAAGCATTCATGGATAATTTGTCATTGGCATATCGTGGCATCGATTTACAATTGTTATGTTGCAACATTTCTAGTTGTGATTAGGTAAACCGAAAACAGTTTATTCCATTACATTCTAAGAAATTTAGAAAAATAAAATAAAAGAATAGCTGATACATGTTTCTACGAAAATTCATTGTTATGTATGCAATAGCCTCGATATATAAATAAGGCTCTCACTTCTATTATTATTATGATATAAAAATGCCAAGGCTTAGGCGTTCTCCATTGATTCTGCAATATTGTGCAATATTTTTCCCCAGACTTCTATATAATATTAGCTATGCATATATTGTCAAAATTAAAACTTAACTGACATGGCTGAGAATGCTGCCCAGAACATATTTGGTGCTAATGAGCATCAATTGCAACTGGGCCCAGAGACGATACGTTGGCCAGATCAACCATCAAGGCCACCTGTATTCTTCCATTTCGCGCCACAGAACGATCCATCAAACCAGACTCCAAAGGAGATAGGAAGGTTTCTACGAAGCGTCTATTTGCTCGTCTTCATCTTCATCGTCATCACAATTTTTCAATGGCTTCTCATAGCGGCTCTAATATCATTTCGAAACGCGTACATAACCTTGGCAGGATTTATTATTTTCGCACTGGGCATTGAATTTGTTTGCTTAATAGACTGCAACACACAATTACGTCAGGCCTCGCGGAAGAACTTAATTTTAGCTGTGATTGTGCTCGAAACGTTCGCAATTGGAGTGCCTGCTGCCCTTCCCTGGATGGAAGTAAGACACGTCTCAGTGGCTATTGGAATATCATTAGCTTTATTCGTGCTCGGTATTGTATCGGGATCTTGGTTACCCAAGAAACTGTTGCCCAATTTGAAAATACTGAGAAATGTGTGGGTTGCTTGTGTTGTGTCCAGCATTGTATGCCTCATGGTGCACCATTTGACGACAGTATTATTATATTATTTCCTATATCTTGTGCCACTATTGCTGGGCCTATTGATCGCAGTGCATTATCATGTCCAGTACATACATGGACGGCTGTCCCTGGTGCCAACTGGGGAGACGGTCCACTGTCTGTTAACTCTTCATTCGGACTTTATATGTCTATTTATAATCTCGCATATACAAGTTTTAAATGTAATCGATCCACAAAGGATAAAAGATATTGCAAATAATATATTTATCTTTGAAAGATATAAATGTTTTGTAACTAATTGTAGCTCAGAGTATTTATTTTATGAAAATTGCAAAGTTTCTTTAAACAGACAAAACAATATTTTAAATTGGTGAGTACTTGATAGAACAGCAACCATCTTTGGATTAAATCTGTTAACTAATCCTATTTTGAGCATTTAAATGGCTGACAGGTCTTAATAAAACTGTAAATATTTGAGCTGCATTATAATAACATGGTTGATACAACATTGTGTAAAACGTCCGAGATGATGTTTAAAGTGTTGTCTCAGACTTAGCTAACATATCTCCGATCTTCTCTTCCTCACATAGGTTCTTTGTATGGTTTCACAATATTTGTAGAGATTATTTACTTTGCTTCACAAGTCATTTTATATATTTTGTGAGAAAAAATGTTAAACATAACCCCAACCCCACCGAAAGCGAATTACTATACAGAGAGTGAGGGGCAAGAGACGGAGGTGCAGGATAACGTACTGATACGGTCATTTTTGCTTCGCGTCTATGCATTTGGGATCACTATCATATTGGTAACGCTGCTGGAATGGACATTAATGTGGGCTTTTCTTAAGCACAGAATTCCTATACCGTGTTCTGTTGAGATGGTCTTTATATTGATTTGTATGCTGATCATCCATCTTGTACCATACGGACGCTACTCCAAGGCGACAAAATGGATGCTTTTCACACTTACTACCCAGTGCATCATAATAATGCCCTATAATTTAATACGGGTCCTACCACTTGCAGTTATCGTTTGTATTTATACCCTTGCCATGTTATTGTTTTGCCTGACCACCTGCATCAGCGCCTTTTGCAGCTTTCAACTGTTTCGAACAATATGGGTCTCGTATTCCATAATGATAGTTCTGGTAATTGCTTGTCTAATACTGCAGGTCCTGGGTGAATTTTTGTGGGTGTCTACCCTCCACGGAATGATACCTTTGGCAATGCTGGTTGCTTTTCTTTACACCAACCATAATACGCAAAAGTTGCATGGGAAAAGTGGCCCCATCTGCATTGATTACTTCCTGCCCCATGGACAACTTATACATTTTGACTTTTGTGTCTTTGTTGTTATTGTAGCCATATCGATTAACTATTATTACATCGGAAAGTTTTTCAAATGCATGACTACAGGCCGTCATTACTATTGGTTTTAAATAAATATTATTACAGTAATAATCATTTATTTTTAATTTGTTGCATTCTGGGCTATTCACTATATTAAGTCACCTGGGGATCAAAGACTGCTTGACCCTGGACAGAGGAATGAAGACTTTCTTATTAATCAGCTTTCTCCTATTCTATTTAGAGGCGGTAGCAGACCAGCTCGCCATTCAGCTCTCCGGGGACTCGGTTATCTTCACTTAGGTTATTAAATGTTATTGTGTTTCTACGATATTTCTGTCAAAATTAAAGGTCACCTGTAGTAAAGAGTTCAGAATGCTTTATGAAACTGCACAGTACTATCCTGCGTATAAGTCCCAAGTGCAACCGACTCCAGATGACGTACTCCAAGAACGCCTGCGTCGGGGTCGCCCCCCATCGCAGCTGCCACCACGCGCCCAACCGCCCTTTGTGCGCTTCAGTGCTGACCCAGAGGAGTTCTCCGAACAGCCCGAAGATAAAACTGTGCGCTTCATAAATCGCGTCTACTTGTTTGCCGGCCTACTGATTTTCATAACCACCGTCCAATTGCTGTCCATTGTGTTTCTTTTAAAGGAACGAGATAAGTACATGACTATTGCTGGATTCGTATTATTGGCAGTAGGTTTTGTATTACTTATCATATTTAACCTCTTTGCCGGGGTGCGTCGGATCTTTGTACTTAATTATATATTGGCTGTACTGTTGGTCGAATGTCTGGCACTGGGCACAATCTTTGTTCTGCCCGATTACGACATAAGATATGTTGCTCTCGCGATTGTTATAGCATTGACACTTCTTATGCTCTGCTATTTATTGGGTGCTTGGTTACCAAAGAATATTTTGCCAAACGAAATTGTCATTTTCATAGCGCTAGGCGCCTTAATGGCAGTTGCCATCGCTTGCCTCATCATGTACTTTCTAACACGTGATCGAAGGTATGAGCTTGGCTTCAATGGTGTATTGCTTGTGGTGGTAATGATCTCATCGCTTTATCACGCGCAGGTGGTCCACGGTAGGCGCTTTGAAGTGATCTTCAAGGACAATGTGTTTTGCGCAGTTACCATTGGTGTACACTTTGTTTTACTGTTCACAATAAGCCATAATTTGATACAAAATATAATGCAGTTTAAGGAACTAAATGCATAAATGATTTATTGTTATTATTACTATCTATGGTCGTGGACATGAATGAGAATAGTATAGTATATATACAAGTACTAGGACCCCAGCTTCGCTCTAAACGTCACAAAAGTTTAAAAGTTTAAGATAGATAAACTGAAGTGCAGATAGGCATGTCAGAGGCCTCGCCAAGTCGGGCGAGTCAAGGGGAAAACCGTACAGAAGAGAACCGTCAAATAGCGCTGTTGCATAAAGCCTTTGTGGCCAAAGTCTATAGCCTAACATTGGGCCTCTTAGCAGTTACCCTTGTGCAATGCCTGGTCTTCCGCTGGATACGCATCAAGCAGCCCCTGCCCATTTTCATATGGGTGGTGTTCATATTAGTGGCTTTATCTATGCTCAACTGTTTTCCAAGGACTCGCTACACATTTCCCGTCAACTGGCTGCTGCTGTTCGTCATCATCGAGTGCGCCACCATGGCCATGATGTATTTTATTCAAAACATGTCCACTATGGAATTCGGGCTTCTGCTGTTGGTCACTACAGTGCTAATGGCCTTCCTGCACATCTGTGGCGTCTTTGCACCGCGACCCTATGTGCCCGAGGAGACGTGTTCGATTTGCACCTCATTTTTGATGCTAGTCGTGGGTGCTGTGCTGTTTGTGATTGTACTACTCACTGATCACCCAAATTTCCTCTTATTGTTCTTCTTGCCCATCATAATAATGACCATTATATTGGTGCCCTATCACGCGGAGGCCATGCACGGACGTTGGCAAATATTGCCATTTCGGAGCGCCTTAATATATTCCTTGGAAATGCATTTGGACTTTATTGTGCTCTTTTTGGCCGGTTCTCTTGTTCTGCAATATGTTTTAATGAAATAAAAATGGGCCACTGCTACTAAAATGGCACTATCTACTTAAACTTAAAGCAAAGGTGAAACAGAGTCCTTACATTTTAAGACGTATGTATGCCGAAAGCAAGTTATATTTGACTGCACCGAAGGAATAATCTTGTCTTTAGTTGTTCTGTGATGGTCGATAGATCGATCGTAGGAGCTTGAATGATCACTAAACGATCCTCGCCTTAGCTCCCCTGTACTGGCAAGCTATCACTTGTACTCGGTTCTTTTATATACGATCATCATCTTCCACATTTCTCGGCAACTCTACTAAAGATCTAAGAATTGTATTAGGATCGACTCATGCCGGAATCAATTGAGTGGGGTGACTAAAAAACTTGTTCTCCTTTTAGTCAAGCTTGGTGACCTCCAGCATCTACGATTTTTCACTTAGAGAGCTGAACGTAAAAAAGAATATAGTGTCACAAGTGTAAAACAATATAAAAGCATTCAATAAACTACAATGAGATGCCACAAGATCATGAAGAAAACGCTGGAGAAGTTGCGATTGTCGCCAATGTGGACACAAAAGTGCTCAGGCATTTTATTCGCAAAGTATACTTAATTGCTACCATCATTCTTTTCTTCACTTGTTCGATTTTGCTCGTTGTATCTACAGTTAAGTTTGATATGAACCGAGTGGTTTGCGTTAATCCGGTGGTATGGATAGTCGGGGAACTGTTGCTGCTACCCATGCTTAACTGCTGTCCGCACACATGGCACCCCTGCAATTGGCTAATTCTGGTAATTTTGGTCTCTTTTACGACACTGGCTGGAGCCTATATGATGTATCTCGTGCCACCCGCTGTTTTGGAAATGCTAATACTTCTCACGGTCCTACTGATTGCTGTTCTGCACAGTTGTGCTGCCACCTGCCCGAAGAAGGTGCTTCCCAGCGCTTTCTTAACAGGGGGCTTGGTGTGTGTGTGTGTTATGGCACTATTAGCTTTAGGAATAATGTCACTCACAACTAGAGAACCAGTATACACCCTTGGTGTGGCTATATCTTTGATGACTGCGGTTATTTGCGTCGTTCCCCTTCAGGCTCAGGAAATTCACGGCCGGCTAAAATTTGTGCATCTTGCCACCAGTAGTTACTACTCGTTGTATATATATGTTACGTTTATGATGTTATTTGGCAGCTTTTGTTATATCTATGTTTACTTTACCTCAAAAATAACTATGAAGTGCCGGCCGATCTAAGAGAAAAGAAACTGTAAACCGCTCCTGACAAAGGTGTCAGCAATATGGAATTCATTGAACTGGTTTCAAGGTTCTTTAACTGAGAAGCGGACCTTCTGGAACTGACAATTCACATTCGGGCTTTGAAAGACCAGCGGAAAGCATAAAGGTTCTGCACTTTTTCTATAAAAACATTATATATCATTTAATTTCGTTAGCAAGATATTCTCATATCAGAAAAGAGAATCTGAAATAAAGCTACGACTCTTATTGCGAACAAGTCAAAGTCCTATCAAAGTTAGTTTTACGGTAATGAAATGCCGCTTAGATTCAAGCGTCACACACATTTTATCAAATTATAAAGTTTTGTTGGAAATTTAAAGTTATAAACGACAGGCTAGATGAATGCAGGACAACAAAGGAATGACGAAGTGGTAGTCGTAGTCATGGACCCCGATCTGCTTCGGAAATTTATATCTCAAGTCTATGCATATGGCACCGGTTTCATCATCATCAGCTGCGTGCTATGGCTGATCACTTCGGGAGTTAAGATAAACATGTTTTCTTTGATTCCCGTACATCCGATGGCTTATATAACAGTCGCATTCGTTTTCTTGGTCATATTTATGTGTATCCCGTATATTCGCTACAGAACTCCGTGGAATTGGATATTTGCTATCATTATTGTTTTGCTCGTGACACTGGTCGGTGTGTATATCATGGGCTTTATACCAATCCTGGAAATGGGCGTGGGCATAATTATCGCCGCCGTACTGATGATTACACTTCAATGCTGTGGCGCCAGATTTCCCAAAAAAATGTTGCCCGGCATAATAATTGTAGCGTTCACTGCATGTTTGGGGCTGATAGTGCTTGTAATTATGGTCATATTAATGGCCATTACAGACGATAATGTGTATGTTCTAGCCATATTTATCGTTTTATTAATATCGTCAATTATTTTCATACCATATGATGCTCAGATTATTCATGGCCGCCTAGAATCTGTCCGCCTTGATGACGCTGTTGGCCTCGCCTTGGATGTTCACATTCGGTTTGTTGTACTGTATAGTAGCATAACCTATATATTTTTGTATGTGGTGCATGGTCCTTTTGAACTAATAAATGTTGAATTGGACTAAACAGTAAAATTCTATAAATGAGGCTGTAAGCTATGCGCTTAGTATCTATAGAAACATTTATGCCGCATAATTACATAATATAAGTCTTTTGGTTGTCCTTTAAAGCATAAGAGCTCCATGATTTTTAATTAAAGACATTTTGTTATTCATTAGCGAGTAACTGGATGTGTCTTGAATCTCTAGCTCTATCTGTAAAAGTTCATCTCGTTGCGGTTCCAGAATCTTCAGGCCAGTTCGCGACCAGCAAATCTATTTGTTCTCTGGCACATGTATGAGAATCTTAGTAGCTTAGCTTCAATTGTCAAATGTGTTTCAATGTGTAAATTATTATGTATTAGCCAGGCTTTACACGAGATGCATAGAGGTCGCCCGAAACAAGCTAATGATAATGATGTACCGATTGCTGTTGATCCCGATGTGGTCCCGTATTTTGTTCTGCTTTCTGCTATCCTTGCAATTGGAACCTATATGTCTTGTGCCTTCTACTACTACTGGCAATATATTCTCACATCAGAAAAGAGAATCTGATTGTGGTCAAGCCAAAGACCTATTAAGAATTACTGGAAAAGTCATATTTGAATTTTCAAAATTCAGTTTTACGATAACGAAATGCCACTTAGCTTCAAGCGTCACCGACTTTGGATCAAATTGTAAAGTTTTGTTGGAAATTTTAAGTAATAAACAACAGGCGAGATGAATGCAGGACACCAAAGAAATGACGAAGTGGTGGTCGTCGTCGTCGACGCCGATCTGCTTCGGATATTAATTTCCCAAGTCTATGCATATGCCATCTGCTTTATCACCGTCACCTGCTCGCAATGGCTGATCACTTCGGGCTTTAAGATACATGTGTACGATTCCATTCCTGTACATCCGGCGATTTGGGCTTTCGTCGCATTCAATTTGTTGTGCATACTTACATGCTTTCCGCGTATTCGCGTCACCTTTCCGTGCAATTGGATATTTGCTATCATTATAGTTTTCCTCCTGACACTGGCTGGTGCGTATATCATGGGCTTCATACCAATCCTGGTATTGGGCGTGGGCATAATTATCGCCGCCATTCTGATGATTACCCTTCATTGCTGTGGCGCCAGTTGTCCCCAACAAATGTTGCCCGGCATTAAAATTGTAGCGATCACTGCATGTTTGGGGCTGATAGTGCTGATAATTTTAATCACATTGGCTTTCGTTACACATGATAACGTGTATACCCTAGCACTAGCTATCGTTTTTTTAATAATGTCAATTATTTTCATACCATTTGATGCTCAGATTATTCATGGCCGCCTCGACTTTGTTCGCCTCGATGACGCTGTCGGACTTGCCTTGAATGTTTACATTCGGTTTGTTATATTGTTGATATGTATCATCTATATACATATATATACAAATATGGAAGAGGTTTTGTAAAAGCACCTCTCTAATATGCTGTATAGTATGAGTGCAAATCAATAAATAATATAATAATAAAAGACTTTTGGATGTCCTAATGACTTATGCAGATGCTTCTTAGGCGAGAAAGAACAGGATAGTGGCAGGAAAGATATATGTATTTGTTATTTTCATTAGTGTTTAGCTGGAAGTGTCTCCAACAGTATCTTGCGTTCCAGAACCTTAAGCCCAGTTCGCAAACGAGCATCTTAGCTGCTTGTCTTCAAGTGTCAAATACATAAGTTTGAATGTGTAAATTATTATGTATTAGCCTGGCTTCACACGAGATGCGTCGAGGTCGCCCCAGAAACGCTGATGACGTTGAACCGATTGCTGTTGATCCCGATGTGGTCCCGTATTTTGTTCGTCAAGTCTATTTATTTGCAGCCGTCTTTATTGCCATATCTACTTCGCAATGGTTAATAGTTGCGGCGGCGCGATTTGACATCAAAAAATGTATTCCGGTGAATCCGGTAATATGGACTTTTCTGGTGCTAGTTCTGCTGGTCATCCAAAACTGCTTTCCAGTTATACGCGCCACCTTTCCGTGCAACTGGATCCTTATTCTCAGTGTAGTCTTTTTCGTGACTCTGGCCGGAGCCTATGCGATGTTTGGAGTGCCACCCGTCGTATTGGGCATAGCTTTCCTCGTCACGATCATAGTGGTGGCTACGTTGCATCTCTTTGGGGCGACTTGTCCGCAGCAGGTTCTGCCTGGAATAATCTTCACGGGAATAATAATGTTTGTAATCTTTATAGCGCTCACTGTTTTGACCATTATATCGCTGGCAACAAAAGCGCCTGATTTCAGTTATTGGATAGCTGGCCTGATTATGATCTTGTTATTAGTTATCATACCCTTTCACGCTCAGCTCATCCACGGTCGTCTGGACTATGTGCCACTGGAAGACATGCTGGGCACCGCTCTGGCCGTCTACATTCATTTTATTGTGACTTGTATTGTTTTAATTCATATTTATATGCACAATGCAAGAACATTGAATATTAAACCGATTTAATACCAGAAAAACCCTAATTTCCATTTAAAACTCCAGTTTTTTTGCCTTGAAGTGTTTCCAATAATTGATGTTAGGAATTAAAGCGAGAAATTAAGTCTAGAAGGAAGAGATGGAAACCATAGAATGGATGTAAGTGATTATTTTGTGCCATTTTTTATTTATCATGTTAATGATCCTTTACGCTTAACTAAATAATTACACATCTTTTCCCCGCAAAGTGTATATGTATGTTGTGTTATTAAATTGAGTTGCTTTACTTGTCAAATTCAATCTTCGAGAGACGGGTAAAGAAAAATTTAAATGACTCGTTCGAACCCAGAGGTTTACGGCATTCCACCCGATATGAGTATAAACTACGGGGTTCGAATCTATGCACTGGCCACACTCTTCGCCTTGATCGCTCTGGCCCAGTGGCTGGTGATTGGTTTTTTTGTGGATTTGGGCAAGGATGCGACAGGTTTACGATATGGTATTTGGGTTGTGGGAACGTTCTTTGGCATATCTATGCTGGCCTGGACAAACTTTGGACGCAAGTTTCCCATCAATATCATAATCAGTGCGATTATAATCGAGAGCTCGACCATGTATATAGGAAAAGAGCAGCAGATGACGAAAAGCCTGCTTGTGAATTCCTATGCAAGCATTATTGTAGTGGCCCTGGTCACATTATGCATCTTCTGGGGTGCCTACTTTCCCATGCCATTGGTGCCGGGTGATCTTGTGTTGAGTTTACTTGTGGCCGGTGCCAACATCATGATAATTGTGTTTTTCATCAACGGCTTTTCGGTTCAATCAAGTTCGGTTTACACGATGGTGCGAAACTTTTTTGCACTCTTTGCCGTCGTATTGATCATGTATACGGCCACCATAATACACAATCGGCAGTTCGATGTACCCAAGAATGAATATTTGTTTCTCAGCACGCTGCTTTTCTTTGGCTACATGCTCCTGCACGAACGAATGTTGGCCCTATCGTAATAAATGGGTGAGCGCACTTTATTCGATACAATCTCGTATATTACATACAATTTTAATTATATATATGAATGTCGCCGTCCAAGACTCCTATATTCCTGTATATACGTCAAGCTGATGATAAATAGCGATGTGAAGTCCACATAGAGGAGGAGAGCCGTTAGGATAGCATCGTCTCTATAAGTCGGTGAATTTTCCTCATGTATGAGCATCGATTGATAAACGGTCATCGCCACAACCGTATAACAAATATTGAGACGCACAAAATGCAAAACGTAAGGCAAATTATAAACTAAAATCATATACAGTAGCACCACTATGACCATGAAGTTGAGGAAAATGGTTGTGATGAAGCATTGCATATTGATTGAGATATGTTGTACGATAATGGCCCCAACAAGAACCAGACAGAACCAAGCAAAGAGTACCACCAATGACAGCAGGCCGATTGCCATGATACCCTCGCCATAAGTCAGTGCACCAATGCCTGTGACCATCATCTCTACAATAAAGATCATATAGCTATAATTGTAGGGATAATTCCTCCGGAGCGAGGGCAGCGCATTAAAGATGGTCAGCGAGAAGAACGCCGCCATCAGCAATATTGTGCTGTAAGCGGTCATATTAATGGTTATGAAGGCCATTATAAGATACCACTGAAGCATGGTGAGCATTATAAGGACGGTAGTGATCAGATATGTTTTTCTGGTGGTGTGCGAAAAGTATTCATCCTGAAAGGGCACATCGATATTGCGAATCATCTTGCATTGGAATTTTTATTTTGAATTTCGTCTGCCATTGTTATCAACCGATTTGAACATAAATCACAAAAAGTTGTTATCCTTTTGTTTTTATAAATATAAAAGTTTTTTGACAATAAATTCGAAATATTTACGAATATCGTGCAATAAATGCTTCAATAAAATAAATAACTGAGTAATGATATAAACAGCTAGTTCCCTTGTTTACAATAATTAGTCAATAGCAGTAGGCGTTTCCATTTCAAAAGACCCGCAAAATAAACAATAATTGTGTCAATATATATACATATATACCAGAATGTACTTGTATACTGGGAATTTGTTTCGTAGCAGCTTCATAATGAATCGCAACCAAATAGACCCTCATGTAATACTATACACACGACGTTATAGTTTTTCTTTCTTATTCAATATCTACTTATATTTCTTTTTAAATAATCGTATATAACCTTTTTTAAATGTTTTAATTTTTAATTTTGATTAATTTAGTGCCATCAAACAAATGAATTTTCGTAGGTATTGTATCCATATCAGGGCTTCTTTTATAATGCCTTTCGGCAGATGAAATTAATTAAATCTACAAAATTACAGCAGTTGTCTTCCTGCTTTTCTTTAACTACGATCGAAAATGTATTCTTTTTAAAACAGACATTTCCCATGCCAACTGTTAGTCATATTCTTTACTTTATTTCTTAAATAAACACATTTAGGGTATTATTTCAGTTCCACATCTGGCTTAAGCATTTTTTGCCTGCCCAAGCTGTTCAAATATTGCAAAATATTTCCTACAGTCTTGTTTTCTTTTTTCTCATCCATATGCTTTAAATGTTTATAGAGTTTATAGAGCTGCTTTCAATTAAAATGATTTCCTAGGTGGGCTTACGCTAAAAAATACGAGTAATTTATTATATTTGGTTTAAATCAATGATAATATACTACTTATCTATAAGCTGTTGTAAGAACTGGTAGTTCTATAAACCGACAGTAACCGAAATATGTATCGAACATAATATACAAATTGGGAATTCGACGTCTTCCAACTTTTCTTATTCAAAATGTAGAAGAATTTGCTATTCTTACTTTGTTAAATTTTTTTTAGCTTCCTAGATTTTATGTATTTTATTAACGCAACTTTATGTGGAGAGCGAAAAAAATATGTCGACTGATTAAATATTTGGTAAACGTATAAAAATGTTATGCACCGAAATAATAATATTTTCTCTTCTACAATAACGTAATTACTCATCGTTGGCTTTACAATCATGGGTTCAAAGTTCCCAATTTCTTATTTTTCAACTTCCAAGTGTCCTGTATTCCTTCTCATATTCTTCCCCTACCTATTAAGCAATTCGCTGCGCTGACCTACTTGACAATTGCCCTGCCACATTAAATGGGACACCACGGCTCGATTTAAACTGGATTAAAAAGAGAGACTATAATGGTTATGAAATTTACATAAAGTATCTCTTACCCCACTCGGACTCTAGCGCTAAGCTGTTGGCCGTAACTGAAGTTGCTGCTACTTCTGGAAACAGGATTAATAGGAGCAGGAGCCGTGAACGCCGCTGTCCAAGACAAACAAAGCAGCAGCTGCGATAAACAAAGGATGCGATTCTTGCAACAATGCCCGGCCATTAAAAACAGCGCCTGCGCGATCCACTTAAGGTCCGAAAAAGGTAAAACCAGAGGAAAAAAACTCGTTATGAATCACACAAATCTCAGAATACGCATAGGAATCTATCTATCTATTATCTGCATATCCAAGTGAGTGAGTGTCTGTGTGTGTATGAGTGTGTGTGTGTGTGCATGTGCAGCTATTTAGGGTTTTTGTCTTGAGTGCGCGCCAGCAACCACCCCTTCCCCCAACCCCTTTGCCAACGCCGTGGTCAATTGTGGACTTAGCGCGAAAACAATCAAATGCCATTGCAATGATTATGACGAAGACGAAGATGAAGGCGACTATTATGATGAAGGCCGCCGGCGACTACCACCACCACCACCGCCAGCACCGCCAGCACCACCCCACTGACCATAAGCGGCAGGCGCAGCAGCTTTATCGCCACATCTAGAGCGCAGCCAGCCAGTTACCTTGGAAAAATCAGGCACAAAAATCGTGGGAATTTTCCCAAAAGCGCATATCGAATGCAATTAAAAATCATAAACGGTCGCGACTGGTAGCGGTGGTTGCTCGCCCATATCGGGGGTTGGAAAATGCTTGCGCGGAAAACTTGGTCACGAAAAAGCTGTGCTATTTTCTGGCATTTTCACCCCCAAATGAAGAAAATGATGTTAGAAAGCCAAACGTAGGTACAAATTCCGCTTGTTGCGTGTCAAAGGCGCCAGCAATGCTTTTGGTCAACGGCACATTTTTTGTGATTTACCTTTCCGGTGACAAAATGCGGAAGTGTCGTAGATCGGGCGGGAGGCATATATACTCGCATGCCTTTTACCTTTACCTTTAGCATTAATGCTAACGACTTTGATGCCTGTCGGCGGGGGTAGGCGCAACTGTTGCGGGGTTGCTGCCGCATGCGCAACAACGTGGGAAAGTTGGGTGCTGCTTGCAACAGGCGTGCAAAGGCATTTGCTTAATTAAATGCAACGAAATGTGGCAGCATATTTTCATACAGATTTGTGCTTGATAAAGCTTGGAGGGTGGAGGTGATGGAATGAGCGACAAGAACAATCCACATGCAACATTTAATAAAAAGCAATGAAGTATAATCAGTCTAGGAGGGGTAAAACAATGTATGTTAAAACCAAACCTGAAAGATAAACCATCACTTTTTAATAGAGGTTTTTTTTTACTGAAAAAACCCAAAAAGGCTTAGATTTTTAATTGAAAAGGGAAGAAAAAACGTATTCTAAATAATTATTACTTTACTAATAACTGGTAGATGTTTAGGTGCTAGTAGTGGGATCTTTAAAAATTAAAAAATAATCTTTCTAATTGAGCAGTGCGACACGATAATTGAAAAATATACATCAATAATATCCCAATGCCTTTAAGCTATCTTTAAAATGAAAAATATCACTGAAAAATTCCTATAAAGAAAGAATACTTTAAAATAAACACATAACAAGATAAGAGGAGCATATGTAATAACCTTTCAGACACGTATACACTCCTAATAACTCTAACTCTATATAGGCAGTAAATTTGATACTATCCAATTATTTGTTTTCCTAAAAAAAGAGAGCTGAAAACCATTTGTTCCTAAAAAGGTACACTCCTAATGTAATTGCTGGGCAGATATTCGATATTGTTAAGATATCGCTGAAGTTTCTTATGAAAAATATGGAGCACAGCACTCATCTATAGAAAACTCATTCTTTGCCAAATTAACTCTATTGAGGATATACAAGTATGTGTGGATTCTTTGATGAATCAACGCCAATATGAATGGCTCACGAGTGTACAACTGATCTGTATTTTTGCCTTTTTCCCTTATAGACTTGACCTCGAATTGTAAGTTGATCATTATATTATGGTGTGTTCATTATTTATTTGCAACTCAAGGCATTCATCATTAACTTGAATCGGCACCGCAAGGCATTCAAATCCGCACATTACTCAGACCATCTTGAGAGCAGTGAAGCCGCCAAAAGTAACCAGAAGAACTTGACGGCAGCTTTTCAGTGTTGTTGACAAACTGCCACAATGCGTTCGTTCGCAGGCTCGCTCGCTCGCTCGCGCGCTTTTCAACACGGGCCGAGGGCCAGGGCCAATCATCAGCATATCATCACTTACAGCGACAACGACAGCAACGTCCTGTCTTCTCCTGTCCTGTTCGGTGTGTGCTTAATGCGAAATAATTACAACTTGTTCGCACATCATTCAAAGGTGGGGGAAGCAAGAAAAAAAGAAAAATAAATTTGCAAAAATGTAACTGTCAGTGACGAGTCGCTGGCTTTATTTGTTTGCCAAATGACGAATGCGAATGTGGTCGTGGATGTCGAATGTCGGATGCCGATGCCAATGGTGTTGACGATGGTGATGACGAAAACCTAAAAACGACACTTGCCTGCTTTATTTAATTTATTTTTTTGCACACTCGTCGTCACAGCCTTGGCTTCGTTGTAGGCGCGGCAAAATTTCAAAGTCGGCATCATTAACACCAATGCGCCATTTTGAAGGCATAACTCTATGCAGGTGTGAGTGTGTGTTGGTGTGTAAGTGTATTGAGTGATTGATGGAGCTTTGAAGCATCGACAGCGACAACGACGACGACTTTTGGCATC